TTGTTTTCTTCTTGTTTCACAGCAAGACGTCCAACAAAAGGGAGCTGCTTGTCTTGGGGCACCAAAAGGAAGGGGAGGTAAGTGTGCAAAATACCCTTTTCTGAAGCTGGTGCTGGAGAAAGGAATTTCAAGCAGGGGTAGAGGTAGGTGGATAGAAAAGCCACAAGAAACCTAGAAAACCAGGCTGCAATAGAGATGGCCCGGTTCAAAAGAAAGTTTCTGGTCTAAGGTGACAACAATGGCGGTGTTTATGCTGCATCTACAGTGTGCTGGGCCCCATGCCAGGGTCATTGTGGCAGTATCTCACTTAATCCTTTCAACAATCTTAAGAATTGCTCTTGGAATCATCAGGGTACCATCGTAGAAAGAAAGGGAAGAAGGGAATTGGCCACGATCACATGGGCAGAAAGGAATGACAGACTCGGAACCCACACTCAAAACTGATCCAATGTCACCCTAAAACGTCCTTCTATGTATCTCGGGCCTGCTATCCTCAACCATTCCAGGCAAGTCTGGGTGCTCGCTCGGTGGAGTCTATTATCTTTCATGGTTCCGGCATCTCCTTTCCTAATGTGTTCTCTTAGAGGCTATGCCCAGCAGAGCCTGACACACCAAAGTCCCTCCTTGATCAGACACGGGCCTCGGAGAATGAATGTGGCAGCGCCTTTCCCTTCTCCCAGCATATAAAACGAACCCGAAGTTATTTACAAAAACATCATGCCAAACAAGACACACACCCTCTCCTTCATTCACTCACTGATGCTGCGCTAGGAACAGCCAGGGGTCACCAAATGGCGGCCAGATGGTAACTGGCTGCTGTCCCTAACTCCAGGAGCCTGGGGCAAAAGGCACAAGCGGCCCACCTGCTATCTAGAGCCTGTGAACCAGCCACTTTACAGAAGGCCAGGGGCTACCCAGGGCTTGTGAACCAACCACTTTCACGGAAGGCCAGGGCAGTTCCCTGTTCTAGCATCATCTCCTGCGACGGCTATCCCAGCTAGCCTGGCCGGTTCCCAGCCTTCCAAGGACTTTTGGCTGGGCTGGTGGTGGTCGTGGGGTACCACGGGGGCCTGAAGCTGGAGCAAGAAGGGGTGCTCGTCCCGGTAGGCACGGTGGATTCCCGAGTTAACAGCTCAGAGAGAGCACTGCCATAGAATTCCTGCTTGCCTGCTAGAACCGCCGAGGCGGAGGGAAGGCTCTGCAGCCGTCTTCCGAAACAAAGAAGGCAGCCGGGCTTTGGGGAGAGCTCGGTTTCCCCACTTATATTCAGCACCACTCCCCTCCTCCCACAGATCCCAGAGGCAGCAGGCTCCCTGGTTATCTCTGGTCCTGGAGCGCCAGGGCCTTTGTCTCCCCCTCTGCCGACCCACCGGCCAGGCGAGGGGCCTCCAAACCCTTCCTGACCCTCCCAGCTCTTTGTTATCTCAGAGGGAGAGCAGGTGGGCCGACGGACAGCTAGCAAGTTCACTACTCGTTTTTCCCTATTCCCCTAAATCTGTACACCTAAATCTAGTAAAGGTGCGGATATACTCTGCACCTCAACACCAAACAGGCATGTGGATTTTTTTTTTCTGGTTACAGCAAAGGCGTATTTTTCAACTATCTTCTACGTGTTCTTCGGATGTTCCAAAAGAAATCAAAATGGAAAGGACTGGGCTATGAAATTATTGCAGTATTTATTTAATAAATTTAATTATATGAAACAGAGAGGGAGACAGAGAGAGGAGAAGGGGGAGAAGAAGAGGAGGAGGAGGAGGAGGGGGAGAGGAGAAGAAGAAAGAGAGAGAGAGAGAGAGAGAGAGAGAGAGAGAGAGAGAGATCCTGAACTCTCCCTAGGCAAGCATGTCACTGAGCCAAATCCTCAGCCCAAAGCTGTATTAGAAACCTCTCGTTTTAGAAGAACCTGGTGATCCAGTCCTGAATCTCTGCATTGGGGGAGGTTGGCGTAGAAGTCATAGTAAGATCTTGTCTCTAGACCAATAAAGATCTTGGTCAGAAGAAAGGCCGAAATGAAGTGCAATACACTGTCCTGAGGAACAGCAGGACAACAGCATGCAAGTGCGGTTGGCTCTCAATAGTCAGGTCTGCATTTTCCATGACTCACCTTCCCTATCATTACCTCAAGTGGTAGGTAGCTTTCTCTGGTTTCTCACATGCAGCCAGGCCCCCAACAACAGATGTATGTATCTCAAGGAAAGTCGTTTGAGCTAGGTGGGGAGCCCTGATGGGACATCTGCCCTAGAACAGTTGAAAATCTTGCTGGGAGGAAATAACCAGCAAAACCCTGTTCAATATTAAATCAGTGGCTATAGCAGGAGGCTGCAGCGTCTCTGGTCCCTGGGGGTGGCGGGGAAGGCTGTTTGGCAGCTTCTAGGGGAGGATGAATGGGGCGCCTGACTAGGAGCTGAGGGGCTGAAGAGTGCAGGGATACGCTTATAGGAGTAATAACCCTTAAATATTGGCTGTCGCTTCTGCTTCCGATTTAGTTTTTGATGATTCATTTGTTCAGAAAGTACTCACTGATTCTTTACTTTTTCGGCACTCAGTTAACTTATGTCTCTGTACCTCCCTCTCCCCCGGTTTGAACTCAGATCGTTGTATAAGCTAAGCCCAGGATCTACTACTGAACTAAACATCCAGCTTTGTCAGGCTAGCTGTTGGCTTAGAATTCAGCACCCGGAGAGACAGAGGTGGGTAGTTTGAGGTTACATCATGAGTTGCAGGCTACCCTGGGGTACAGCACTAGACTACTTCTCTGGGGGCTGGAGAGATGACAGTTTAGTGGTTAAGAGCACTGGCTGCTCTTCCAGAAGACCGGGTTCAATTCCCAGCACCTACATGGCAGCTCACAACTGTGTGTAACCCCAGTTCCAGGGGATCTGACACCTTCACACCAATGTACATAAAATAAAATTAAACAAATTATTTTTAAAAAGAGGAATAAAAAAGATTACTCAAACAAATGACCTGAAAGTCTATAAATCAATAAACTCCAGCGCTTCTTCTCCACCCTTCACTGGAGGTAAACAAATGTGATAGCATCGCATAGCTTACTATTTTTGTCACCTGGTGGTCACAGAGAAAACTGTCCGGCGCGGAGTGAGTAGTCAGATAGTCTGGTATGCAAGCTGTCACAGCTTGCTCTGTTGACGGGTTCCTGAGGAAACAGTTCTTCTCACTGTGGCTCTTTGCTTGTGTAGCCACCCTTTTTGGTACACTGACCCTCATTAGTCCGTCTGACTCTCATGGGGGAGACCCATAGCTATGGGCATCTCTGACTTGATTTTATCAGATGCATGAAGCATCCAGAGTAAGCCTTCGAGTGGTGGAAAAGGTGGAAAGATTCTTCACACCTTCCCGTGGTCCCCCAATTAAACAACACCTCACAGTCACCATGAACCCTTAGGAAAATTTGCAGAGACCCCTCCTCCCCCGGTACTTCATTGCTATTTAACACATCTACAGGCTTCTACCATCCACTCAGGTTTAGGGTGCACTGGAATCAAAGCTCTGTCGCCCAATTACGCTGCACCCTCAGGCCATTTTTTCCTATTGTTTGAGACAGGTTCTCTAGCACAGGCTGTCTTCTTAGTCTCTATATAGCCAACGACCACCTTGAGCCTCTGGTTCTCCTCCACCTTCAGTGGCTAATCCAGTGCTGGAAACCGAGTTCCCGCCAGCTTCTGCAAAGACCCTATCAACTGTTTTACAATCCTTAGCATGCTTCATTAGGATGCCATGATTCCTCACGTCCAAGCAGCACCAAGTATTGTATTTTTCAACATTCTCAACAGGATTCATGCCCACTAGACTCATGCCCGTTGGATTAAAGAACTAGAGATTAACCACTCTGTGGATGGATCTGGCAGGAAGGGCATTTCAGCCATTTTCATTGAGTGCCATAGTAGCATACTGTGGGGTGTCTGGGTTGGTTCTGGTTAATTCCTAAGTGGGGAGGGGAACGCTCCTCTCCTACACCACTCACTTCTTGCTTGCTTCCTGAACGTTCATTGAAAATTGGTGATTCCTGAGGCTACCAAGAATGGCACTGTAGAATTTGCAGGGTCCATTCCAGAGTGAACCACAAAACCTAAATTATGTGGCTGGGGAAAGTTGAGATCCAAGGAAAGAGTCTGGGGCAGGTGGGGGCGGGGGAGATCGACTCGTCCATCAATAAAAACAGCTTGTATTTATTGTGAATCATGTGAGGGTCCTCTTTATTTCTCCACTTTATGTGTGTTGTTATCTCCTGTTTACAGATGGAAAACTGAGATTTAGGGCACCGAAATCATTCCCAAGGCACACAGATAACCAAAGACCGAGATGCGAAGTACAGCCCCAAAATTATAGTGCCAGTCCCTCGCCCCTCCCCACACCCCCGCTTCCGTCCCCAAATTTCTGATCTATTCATGGCCTGAAATTCGGCGATGCTCAAGCCAGATCAGACTGTTAAGTGCCTCTGCTCCACTCCGGGCTTCTCCCGGGCTACGGCTTGGAAACTACAAGGCCCAGCAGGCATCTGCAGGGGAGGAGGAGGAGGTGGGACTAGCGCCGGGTGGGAGTGAGAGAGCGAGCCCTCGCGCCTCGCCGGCGCACAGCGCTCGGAGCGCTCCTGCGGGTACCGTTGCGGGGCTCTCGGCAGCGGGTGGCGCCGATCGGGATCCGGGACGCCGGTGCAGCCGCCGTTTGCCGAAGACCCGGGCTGCACAGGGAGCTGGGCCGCAACGTCCCGACTGGACGGACACTGTGCTTAGCGCATTGCGGCGACCTCGCCTTTCCCGGCCGCGAGCGCGCGCCGCAGCTGGAAAAGCAGCGGATCCCGAAGACTTTTCTCCGTTCCCAGGGGCGCACCACACCAGTGCAGCAGTCAGTGGACGTCGTGGCCCCCGGAGGGGCTATGGAACCCGGATTACCAGAAGCTTGAGGAGCCGCCGCCGCGTTCTGGAGAGCGGGGGGCGCACGATCTGGGGACCCCCGGCGGCGGACCCAAGCCCTCCCCCCCGCCCCGCCTCCGGGGCACCAGCTTCGGCTCCATTGTTCCCGCCCGGGCTGGAGGCGCCGGGTTCCGAGTGCCGCCAGGAGTCGTGCCTTGGCCGCCGAGCTCTCGCGACCCGGCCAGGACCTGAACGGAGCCCGGAGACGACCGACCCGAGCGCAAGACACAGACACCCGCCGCGCCACGGCGAGCTCTCCAGAGGCGGGACTGCAGCGCCAAGTGAGGTAAGAGTCGCCGGCGTCCGCAGAGCCGGCTGACTGGGCGTCCCGAGCGGCCCCCGCGCTTCGCCCGCCACAGCCCGCGCCTCCCTCTTCCGATCTCCCCTCCACCCCACCCCCGGCTCCACTCCCTCCCTGGCGCCCCTGTCCCTCCTCCCTCGGCCAACGTCGCCGCCCGCGCCCCCTCCCCGCGCGGGGCCCGCTGCTGCTGCCCGCTGCCCAACTTTTCCGCCAACTCGCGCTCCGGAGCTGGCGAGGCAGCTGCAGCGCTCCGAGTCCAGACCCCGACCCTCGGGGGAGAGGAGAAGGCGGCGGAGGCCGTGGGTTCCCGCGGGGAGGGGGACGGGAGTGGACTGCGAGGTGAGTGTGTGTGTGTGTGTGTGTGTGTGTGTGTGTGTGTGTGTGTGCAAAACACTCCATCTCTTTTGGTCCTCTTGTGAAGATTCACCCCCCCCATTTCAGCCGGTGGCTTTGGGCGCAACACCCCACATCTGGGATCTTTTCAAGTGTTTTTCCGCGTCCGGGCAAGTCTGGGGTCCGAGTTGGGGGCTTGAGAAGGAAAGAAAGTGGCGGGGAAGGCTAGCTTGTCTTGGAATAGGTTTGAAGGAGGTGTCGTCACCAAATGGCTGAATCGGCTTTAGCGGAGAGCGAGCAAAAGATTCCCCCTTTTCGAGGGGTGGTGGTGGTGATGTTCTATTTAAGTCTTAGACCTGGAGGGTTTCCGAAGGGGTCTGGGGAAGGGGAGGGGGACTGCGGGGTCTGGGTCGTTCTGGGAAGCAGGGGAAGGGATGAGGACTGGTCCGGTGCGGAGTCCTCCGTTGCCCGCTTGTTGCTTCTCTGTCCCAGACCCCCTCTCCGCGCTTCCCGCGTCTCCTCTAGTGGTGTCGCTGGCGAGATGAGACAGGCGAGTACACATATTTTTTTGGAGGAATTTACTGACTTTTTTATGGTGGGGTTTGCATTTACCCCCCCAGTGAAGCAACTGGGCACCTTGGGAGCGCAGGAGGAGTTCTCTTTTTCTGGGTCTAGAAGCTATTAACTCATTTGCAAAGCATTTCGACGTCGTTTTTCTCCCCTACCCAACCCCCCATTTCCCAGATGTAGCTGCCGCATCTGGTTCCGTTTCACCCTACACGGGTACACCGCAGCCACATTATTAAACATCCCTCTTCCTCCCCTCCCCCTCCTAAATTAAAACTGAGATTCTTCCACTAGTCCTTCCTACCACCACCCCTTAATATTTCTTGAGACGTGGAGAGAAGACTTTGGTTTGGAAGAGAAAAGAAAGTTGTGGATCGCAAGTGATTTTGAATTCCTCCACACTAGACTCTCCTGCTGGTGGCGAGCGATGGGTGGCCGGGGTTGTGCGGGAGAATCAGCTTGGGAGATGCAGCCATAATTCCCTGGACCCATTTGGGAGCAGCTTGCTCACAAGAGGTGGCCGTTGTCGGTGGGTCTGGGCCAAGATAGGCCTTGACGTGTACTGGAACCAAAGCATCGCCTCGCCTCGCCCTTTAATTATAGTTGGAGCGTCTGTCCCGTGTGGACACTGCAAGCCCACCTATCGCCACGCGTCTGGGTTCCTCGCGGGGTTCTGTCCTTGATACGGGAGCAAGCAGGGTGCAGCAGCTGATGCTGTTGGAGCCAGAGGCACCTTATGTTTTCAGTGAGTTCCTTGGGTTGCAGCCCTCGGAAACTGAAAATGGAGTGTTTGGCCGTTTAAACAATGACTACAGGACTAGGGAAGGAATGTACACTTTTTTTTTTTTTTGCAGTCCCCCTTTGGGGGGGGGGGGACAAGCAAAGCATCCAAAGGGTCCAAAGTTGGCGTCAGGGTGGGGAGAATTGGTGCCTTTCGCCCTCTCCAGTCTTTTAAATTGAAAACACTTCTCTGGTTTCCTCCTTGGGGCGGCAGTTTTGGAGGCTGTAATGAAATCGCACTTTCTCTAGACATGGTAATTAAGGTGACTGTTTCCTTCGCAGATGTACCCTGGTCTTTGCACCTCCGGACCAGTGCTTTTTTTGGAATAGTACCTAAATTGTAGAACCATCGCCCTGAGATGGTTAAGTAGAAAGTGGCCGTTTTCCTTCCTTGGCCAGGCTCCGGGTTTCTCTGAGACTTGTTTTAAAGCTAAGTAGCAGGGCCCCTGGGACTGGACTGGCCATGGTCTGGCCAATTACCCCCACGCTGGGGTGGTGTCCCTTCCTTTCAGTGACCTAAGGCCGGCAATCTCAACTAATACCCGCCAACTGTCCTGGTGGCTGGCCTTCCTCCCTAATGGCTTGTTTACATATTTCCCCACTTGGGACACACTTCTGAGACCCTGTTGACCCCTTAGTGCTGAGTGTTTGGGGACTGAGACGCTTTCTGGGGGCTTGGCTCCAGCCGGGACAGTTCTATATCTCATCAGTGACAAGTTACTTGAAATGTGTTGCTTTTACTCTTAGTCATAGCTGAGTGTCAGCTTTTCAGTGATGGGCCATGGATTGAGAGTCACGTGTACTCCCAATGCCAGTTTCAAAAGTATTTTCACAATGGGAGGATGGATAAACGTGGACATTACTTCCTTGGGTTCCAGGGTATAGCCTTAGAGTGGTGTTTTCCTTGTTCTTAGGCCATGAAGCTTGTTGGAAGGTTCAGTCCCCTTTGGTACCCTTTGAATAGCAAGCGAAGCAAAGGGACAGAAGGAACAGAGGGACATGACAAATGTCACCGTCTCCTTACAAGAGAAGATGAGACTATATATAGACACCCTCCACCGGAACTACCTTTATCCAGGGTGGACTCCAGATGAGAAAATTGAATGGGGCGTCGGGTAGGCAGACTCCAACCTTCGAGACCAAAGACAATCTTTAGACCTTGCTGTTAGTGATCTGCTATTTGCTTATTAGTGATATTGACCTGATGCAAGACTCTTAAAAGCTCTTTGTTCGTGTGAACTTGGGGCTTAGCAGCTAGTGTCTCCAAAGGCCCTTTTCTTTCATTTTTTTTAATTCTTAAAATTACATTTATTTACTCATTTATTCATGTGTGTGCACAAGGGTGCCACAGCGCTCCAGTGGAGATCAGAGAATAGGTTGCAAGATGTGGTTCTCGGCCTGGAGAGATGGTGGCTCAGCAGTTAAGAGTCCTGGCTTAAGCTGGGCGGTGATGGCGCACACCTTTAATCCCAGCACGCAGGAAGCAGAGGCGGGCGAATCTCCCTGAGTTCCAGGCCAGCCAAGGCTACACAGAGGAACCTGACTGGTTTAAAAAGGACACTGGCTGCGATTCCAGAGGATTTGGGTTCCGTTCCCAGCATGCACATCAGACAGTTCACAAGAACTCTGTGTCTCCGCAGATACCTGCACTGGCACGCACCTATGTGTAATTGAAAATAAATTTTGTTTAAAAAAAAGAAAAACTATTTAGTTCTCATCTCCCATGTGAGTTCAAGGGCTTCCTCTCTTACCTGCTGAGCTATGTTGCTGATCCCAACGGCCCTTTCCTTGCCTCTAAGTTTTGTAATCTCTTTTATCCAAATGGCTGTTGAGCTTCAGAAGAAATACGGTATCGCTCAGCATCCCTGCACTCTGGAGGGAAAAGTATAAAGGTCAGGAGTTCAAGGCCATCCTACATGCTGAGTTTGAAGCCAGTGTGGGCCTGTGGGGACCCCATTTCCTCCCTGGAAAGTCTGGGCCTCCGCCGCAGGAGGAAGAGTGAGCCTTGACTCCAAGGTCTTGCTCTGAAAAGGGCCTCACTTTCCTCACTTAGGAGGAGTTTAATTTCCTCTTGGGAAATTTGTCTTGCATTTTCCTTTCCCAGGGCTCTGGAAGAGGTCTAATAAAATGCACCCAGGAGTCCAGATGTGGGTCTTTAGAGAAGGTGCTGGTGTTTCCAGAGGTCAAATACCTCATATGGGATAGACTGTCTTTTCCCTCTTACGCCTGCATTGCTTTTAAATGGGAGCTCTACTCACTACCACCCTCGAGGAAGACGCTTTATTTGTGGGCACTCCTCCGCCCCCCTCCCCAGCCAAGCCTGGAAATGAGTAGTGTTCACCTAGGTAAGGGATTCCACTAAACTCAAAACTCTTGAGCGATCCCTCCAGCCCGTTTGTTTGGTTTCCGAGTCTGGTTCTCATCTAGGCCCAGGCCGGCCTCAAACTTGAGATACTCCTATCTCGACCTTCCTATCCCGACCTCTCGAGTGTCAGTGAGATGATGCACACACCATACCCCCATACAGCCATTACTAATTTTTCAATATAAAATACTTTAGATACTTTCCATATGTGTGAAAACACACATACATACACACACAGGAATTCACTTTGTTTCAGCAGTGTTAGGAATTGAACCCAGGGCCTTTTATCTGCTAGGCAAGCAGTTTCACTACTGAGCTAACCCTCCCAGCTTTGTTGACAGTCATTTGGATATTTTTTTAACAGAGGTGCAAGGTAATCTCAGCCTCTTGGTCTTAGACTACCCTCTTGGGCATGTCTTTCTTTCTGAAAGCAGGTTTCCTTCTCTTAATCCCCATGCTTAAAATGTTTTTAATAAACCAAACTTCGTTATAAAACACACACACACACAATTAGCATTTATTTTTCTTTTCTTTTTATCTGTGTGTATAAGTGTGTGTCCATGTGTTTGAGTATGCACACATGTCACAGGGCTTAGAG